TTCTTGTAAACTTCAATGTCTAGCATTTATTTTTTGATTTTGATCGCAATTAGTTCTCATCCATTTATTTAAATTTTTTTTCATCAAAATCCCCACTTTTTTAATGTTAATTAATATTTTTTTATTTTAGTTATTTGTTTATTTTATCATTTTATTTAATTATTTTATTTTATTTATTTTTATTATTTGTTTATTTTATTATTTTATTTTATTAATTTTTTTTCATTTATTCAAACTATATCTCATTTTTATCGCATTATTTGAATTTAATATTTTTTTTTTAAACTTAGTTCCATAGGAGATGACAATTTTTATTTCCACCGATTTGAATTAGAATCACATTGAAAAGTATATATGGTGAGATTTATAATATATATTTCGCGTGTTTTAAATTTTCTTCTATTTCAGCATTTTTAAAATATCACCTTTTGGTAAGATAAATGCTTCCTTTAGTTGTGTTTTTTATTTCGCTCTCTTTTTTTTTATTATTTCTTTTTTTTTTAGACAAGTGCCGGAGTAAAACACTATTGCTTGACGCAGCGATCCAAAAAAAAAAAAAAAAAAAGACGCGTTTCAGAAAATCCGGAAGAGTGATAAGAGCAGAGATGTAGTTTATTGGCTTTTTAAAGCACACCATTTTTTATCGTTCCTCCCCTTCTTATCACAATTGGCTATGACATTATAAAAAATGGATTCATTTAGAAACTATTATTACACTGGGGAAAAAATTGTTTCAAGGTTGCACGCTTTTTAAATAATATTTTATTACAAAAAAAGAAATTTTTTTTTATCTAATTTTTAGATTTTTTAAAAATGTTGAGAAACCCTATATATATATATATATATTTGCTGGAAGGGGGGTGATTTAAAAAAAAATTCTGTCATTATTTACTTATTTTATTTTTATTTTATTATTTACATAATAATTTATATGAAGCATAAAAAACATTCTATTTATGGCTAAATATGTTTTTTTACTACTTCTCCTAAAATTACATAAAATACTTGAATAGGGAATGTTCAAGTATTTTACTATGGCATTCTTGTATAAGGGTGAAATTCATTATTTGCTATTATATATGTTTTCCAAAAACAAAAATAGAGGGGAAATAATGTCATATATCATGTCCTGATCATGTCAAACATAAATATACACGTATTGTGTTAATTAAACTTTTCTATGAAAAAATAGATCGAGTAGAAAAATAATCTCAAGTTGTATAAAAAGTGTTTACAAAATCTTACAAATATTTATTATATATGAAGTCAAAATCCCTTTGAAAACAATCAAATTCTTTAAGAATTTTTTTTTTATTTTTTACTTATTTTTTATTTTATTATTTACAATCAAAAATTTTTTAATCGCCAATAATAGAATAATAATAACAATAGTAATAATAATTAATATTTATAAATTTGAATATAAAAATCTGAATAGTATTCTATTATTTCTTTTTCATTTTAATAAACTCGAAACAAAATGAAGTTATATAGAAAATTATAAATCAAGTCAATTCTGAGAGAGAGTTGAATTTGCTTTCCAGTCGATTGCATCAATTCGGGAGTTGGATATTGTTTATTCCCAACCGTGGAGAAACGGAGAGAGAGAGAGAGAGAGAATGAAATTAATCAGACGCGTGAATCCTATAACAAATCTCCTATTGCCAGCCACTAACCGAATAAATTTTCCATCCTCTTCATTCCAATTAATTCACTTCCTTATGGGCCAGTTTCCTTCAATTTGAATTGCCTATATTTACCATAGAGATAAAATAGAAAAATATGTGTTATGAAAAATGGAAATGATATATTGGACTCATTTTTTTTTTTTTAATTAATTAAAGTTTATTATAAATTAGAAAAACAATTCATAATTTTTTTTTAATAACATTATGAAACAATAAAAAATAATGAAATAAAACTATTAATGTGATTTCTTAAATACGCATAACAATTATCTTGATACACTAATTGTAATTACAAATATTGATACGATTCTAATGAGAATACATTGATAATTCAAATATCATTAATTTGAATTAATTATTTTTACTGTAGAAAATGCAATGTATGTACAATTTTTTATAAATTAATTTATTTTTAAATTGGAAATATGATTTTTCCAATTATTATTTAATATAATTAATAATATTTGACATTTCTTTTATCTATATACGAAAATGCGCGAAATTATTGCTTTTCTTTTTCATTTCTCTTTCTGACATTTTCAGCTCTATAACTTTTTGAGAATACACATTTTAATCGAAAAATGTCACAAGAAAAATGTTACTTGTCAAAAGGTGAACTTTATATATATATAATATATATATATTTATATATACTAGAGGAGCTACGCCCCCTGTGAGCCTTGACAATTTTATATTTTTATAATTTCTAATTAATTAGAATATTAAAATAATGAACAAATGCTAACTATAAATTGATAATTTCATCTGTTTGATAACGCATTTTTTATTCCTGCTATCATATTATTTTTCTTGGTTATGGTTAATAAAAAGTTTTACTTCATGAAAAAGTTATATATGAGAATAACTGTAATTTTTCTTGTGAATTAAATTATCGTAAATTTTAACCTATTTATTATACATTAATTATTTAATAAAATAAATATCAAATTTTTGAGTGGTACAAAAATTTCTAATACAAAATTTAATTATTATTTTGAAGAAATATTTTTTTTTTTTAAATCAAATATTCTATCGTGAAAGCTTGTAATCGTAAACATAAAAAAGTAAATAGTTAAACATTAAAAATAAATATTTCTATATTTTAACGACTTCATATAAAATATAGTCAATTTTGCGGAAATGATATATAATAAAGTATTAATGGTCTTAGACGAAGTTATATATATAGAGAAATATATAGTTCACGTTTAAAAGATGTTTTAATATTACAAGACATTGAAGCGGATTATTTTCCTAATAACAGCAAAAGCTGAACGTGAACAAGAAATCATGAGGATATGAAGTAATTGATAAATTATTAAAATTTCTTCGTAATCATAGTACAGAATAAGTTATTGTAGTGTAGAAAGGGAGCTCACAAACTTTGATAATTTACGAACATATATATATATATATACATATATATATGTTCGTAAATTATCAAAGTTTCTTAATGTTAAGTCTTACTTAACAAAATGGTTTTACAAATTTTATGTAGACAAAAAAAGAAAGTCATAACATTTTTTGAAAAAAATTTTTACACATTGTAGGAGGGGAGCCCATGATGCTAAATGGGGATTTATTCGAGCGTCGTCGGGGCCATGATATTTTGTAGTTTAGATGATAAGAAAAATAAAAAGTTTTATAAAGTTTTCCTTTTCAGTTGTGCGTTATGCGTATACAAATTTTCAAAAATGTAAAATGTAAAAAATGTGAAAAAAATTTTGTAGTAATTACAAAAAAATTAATAATTTTAATAGAATAATAATAATGACTATATGACATGATGATTCCCCCTCTCTCGTCCCATACAAATTCTAATAACGCGAGCATTTTGATTTTGTGCTATAATAACTGAATTTAGATAATATCATCCGCGTTGGAAAATTATTCGTGTGCAAAGTTGCGAGAGAAACTTTGCTCTCTGACATTTAATGAGATATATATATATATTTATATAGCTATAATAAACTAATTAAAAATATTTAAAAAATAATTTCTTTTGTATATATAATTTATAATAACCAATAATTTATATATTATTGATAATTTTTTTTTTTTAATAATTATTTTCAAATTGAAAAGTATTTTGTGACAATATATATATATATATATATATATAGTTTTGAGGAGATGAGGTATTATTAATTAATTATTAACTTTAGGGTTGCAAATTTCCAAAACTTTGCACATCAAACTTGAGTCAAAACTTTCCTCAAATTGTTTTGCGATCTGAATATAACTTGAAGTAGTATGTTCTTCAATCACATATCAATAATTCAAAAAACGGTTTTTGAGTTTATGTATATAACTTTTTCAAATTATTGATAATTGTTTTTTCTTAATGTGAAATTGGAAATAAATATTACTGTATATAAGATAAAAAAAATTACTTTTATAATTAAAATTGCTTTTTATTAAAATGAATTTAAACTTTTTTTTTCAAAAAAAATTTTCATACATTAGAAGAATAAAGTGAAATTAATGACATTAAGTTTTTAGAGTAAAAATGAAGGGTAAATTCGTTACCCACATTTTTTCTACAAAAATTACAGAGACAATTTAAAAAAAAAAATTTCCTAAATAAACTTTAAATACACTTTGTTATTTTATGGTTCAACTATAACCAAAATAGCCTTTTTTTGTGTCAATTGTTTATTTATAATTTTAAAAAATTGTGAAAAAACGTTAGTGTAAACAAAATAGAAGACAAATTAAAATTGAATTTTATTTTAAATAAAAAATAAATACAATGAAAAATATAATAATTGTATTTTTTATTTATTTAATTATTATTATTAAATTTATTTGTTATTTATTATTATTTTTATTGTTCTGAAGAAAAATTTGAAAATTGGATGAAAATTAAAGAACATAAAAACCTGAACAAAAGAGAGACGATGAGAAGAGATTAAAAAGTTTAAAGAGGACGTTTTAAGGAAGAGGAGTAGAAAAAAGATTATTATTTAATCCCGTTAAGATTAATTGGACATTTTAATTGGTGTTTTTTTTTTTGTAAGAGATAATTATAAAGAAAATAAATATATTACATCCGCAGAAATCATTTTTCTTTGAATGAAGAAAAAGAAATTTTATAAATAAAAATAATTTTCATTATTATATTGTGAAAGGAAATTTAAAGAAATTTTTCCCTATCGTTTTTTCTGATAAAATTATTTTTTAAAAAAAAAGAAAAATAGTGTGAATTTTTTTTTTTTTTAATATATTTAAAAATTATTAGAAATAGAAAAAAATTTCTCTCATCATTTATAATGAAAATGTGAATTTTTATTTTTTTTTTTGTTGTTTCAGAGGCCCGCGCCGAAATAATTGGACCAGCGGAGAAATTTGTACGTCCCGGAAGTACGCTTCAACTTCATTGTATGGTAAAGAAATCGACGGAAACGCCGTCCTATCTTTTTTGGTATCACAATATACGAATGATCAACTACGACGTTCAGCAAGGTGTTAATGTGAGCACGGACCTTTTGGCCCGCGAGAGTTGGTTAGAAGTGCCGCGGGCATCCGTTCGTCATTCCGGAAATTACACCTGCGAAGCCAGCAATGCTCAACCAGCGCGAGTTTTCGTTCACATTTTCAACGGTGATAATCCAGCGGCAATGCAACATAGTCTGGCCTCATCTCCATCGGTAATAGCGTGCACCGCCCTGATGACCTTATTGACCGCACTCAAAATAGCACTTGATGCTATATCTATTCGATAGGCTCCTCTCTCTCACTCTCTCTCCACCTCTAAACTCACTTTAATTATGAGGTAAACGTCAGCGTATCAAAGCCCTCTCCTATATGCTAGAATTGTGCAATCCCCCAGCTTCAGTTAATTGGACGAGCCTCTTCAGGTATATTCAGCAAAAGATTAGAACAATTCAAATCCAAATTCAGGTTATTCAGGAAACAATCCTAATATGTATATATGTATATCGTTCACAAGTTTTCAAATTGCTTTCGATATTTTTTTTTTTTTTTTTTTTTTTTTTTTAATAAATACATTGGGAAAAAAAGTTAGTTGCAACATTTCAGTTTTTTCTTTCGAGAAAAATCGTTTTTAGTTAGCGATACTAGCGCTCTTGTGGCGAAATTGTTGCAACTCAGGTGAGAGATGAAAATGGCGGACATCTGCGCATGCGTTTTGTGTTTCTCGTTGAGAAACTTTGAGTTAAACGTATATTTGTCTCACTAGTCTAATTATTTGGCGTAAATAAAATTTTTTATTTAAATCAAATAAATATTTATTAGACTGTGAGACAAATATATCATTTCTCTGGGTGAAATGCTAGAAGTTGGAGAGATTTTGAAAAGAGAAGCAATATTAAAAAAAAAAAAAAACTAAACTTTTCATTAATAATTTTCCTAATTTTTTTTTATCAATAATTTTCATAACTTTTTCATAAAATAATTTCTATAATTTTTTTTAGTGTTTTAAAATTCAAATAATTTTCTTTAAAAAAATATATATATATATATATATATATATATATATATATATATATATATATATATATATATATATATTTATTATTTAATTGATAATATTAAAATTAAGTAATTTTTTTTAAATAATAATAATAAATATCCACTTTTGTTTTTAGTAAATTGTCTTTTTTAAATTGTATCGTTGACAAACAATTATTGTATGGTTGCATCAATTAATTTCAAGTGATTTTCATCTGCGGTTAGTCGATCGATGATATAATAATTAATGCTGGGAATTGTAGAGATTTTGAAAAGTGAAGCAATATTTTTTTTTTTTAAATAATTAAATTTTTCATTAATTCATTTATTTCTATAATTATTTCCAAAAAACATTTTTTTTATTTATAATTAATAAAATCCGGACCACTGACCGGAAAAACTTTATATTTTATTTAATTATTAAAAAATTGACAAAAAATTTGTCCCCAAACCTTAATTTACTAAAATAATGTAATTTATTTAAAAATATTATAATTTTGAATATTTTGAAAAATGTTTATAAATGATTTTGATATTTAATTATTACCTTTATATCGAGCTCATTGTTTACATTGAAATACAAAGGGATAAGGTCATAATAATATGGATATAGAAAATCCCAAAGATAATAAAATCAGTTGCAATTTGTTTATTGACCTGTTTAGACGTGCGGTAGTCAACGTGATTGTATATTTTATTTGTAATTTATTTTTAATTTATTATTTAAAACGAAAAAATTTTGCTTTCATTAAAAATTTTAATTTTTTATTGTTTTTTATTTATTTTTTCAGATTTGATGTTTGCATCGTGAGTTCTTGGCCCTTTTTTTGTAATTCCCAAACGAAAAAAATCTAGTGTTATAAAATTTTTCGTGAGTGTTCGAAATTCTTGAAAAAGCGATCTAAATATTTAGAAAAAGTTTATAAAAATTAAAAAACAAAATTTATTTCTTTTATAATATTCAAAGGTTTTTAATTTGTTTTAAATTTTTTTTTCCCGGGAGTGTTCGAAATTTCTTAAAATCGCGATCGCTTTTAAAAAGTATTTTTTATTTCTTTATTATTTAAACGTTGTTTTCGGGAGTGTTCGAAATTTTTTAAATCGCGAGTGTTTTCCAGAAGATCAAATCGTCGTAAATGAATATGCGATACATTGGTTGGAGGCGAAAGGTTAGATATTTTTATTTCTTTTCTTTTTTTTTACAAAATAATAATGACATACAATTGTTTTTCTACTAAAAAATTTAAAAATATTACATTTTTTTTACCTACAAAAAGGTTAGTACCATTTTTAGAGCTCAGGAAATGATCTTTTAAAAGCATTAATTACGTTTTATATTTAGAGAACTTTTAATAACATAAATTGTGTTTTAAAAGTGCTCTACAAAAGCGATAGTTTTTCTTTTTTTTTGTTAACTTTATGCCTAGAAAGACGGGGATTTATTTTTAAAATTTTAATGAATTTAATTTTTTAAAAAAATAGTTTAAAATAATTAATATATTTAAAAAATTAGAGGAAATATATTTAATTTTATGAAAATTTTAATTATTAAAAAAAAAGCTTGAAATATTTCATTTATTTTATTTATTTGGAATATTTCAAAAGTATTTAATATTTGTTTTTCAATATGAAGGAAAATTTAGAAAATTTTAGATTAATTTTTCTAAATTTTCGTTTTTTTGTAAATACAAATAATTATATTTTATTATGTTAAATTATATTAAATAAATAAAATTTTATATCCTCTATATCAGAGGAAAAAACGAAAAAAAGACGAGATATAATAAATTAAGAATAGAAAAATTATTAAAAAAAAAAAAAAAAAAAATTCAAGTAAAAGTAATAAGTTAAAAAAATTGATTTTTTTCCTTTAAAATCTTTTCAATTTACAGCATTATTTTCTGGCTACATTGTTATATCAATTTTACTCTAATTAATGTGTAATATTTATTTTCAATAACAATATAGGTTTTAAGTTTCAAAGTTTATTTTTAGAATTAACAATTCATTTTTAAAATGGACCTTTTGTATATATATTTTGTTCTGTTTAACGGAAGGCTTTTGTTTGTTTTTCATCTATAATATTTTTTATGTGCTTATTGTAGAATGTACAGAACATTTTTTTTTGTAATTTCAATTTTGCTTCAAGCTCAACATATCAGTATTTTTAAAAAATCTTTTCAAACTATATTATAAAGGAAAAAGATTTTATAATGTTGCAGAAAAAAAAAAAATAATTTACTATTTTCTTTTTTATTTTTGAAATTGTGATACGAAAAAACGTTGTAAAAATGTTAGATTATTTTTTCAAGCTTTTGTTCAATGTCCATTTAGAAAAGCTTTTTTTTTTTCACTGGACATACATGAGTCATGTTAATGGAAAAATGGTCTCTCAGGTTTTTTTTAAAATTATTTCAATCCACATTTAGTTCGATTTTTTTTTTTTTTTTTTTTGACATTCAGAAAATTACAATTTTCATATTTTGAAAAAGAAAAAAAAAAATGTACAATAGAAAAGGAAAAATATTAATAAATTTTTTGCTATATATATAAAAAGAAATATTAATATTGACTAAAGAAATATAATTTCTAATGGAAAACAAATTTTTTCGTTTGTTTGAATTATAAAAGTTTGATTCCTCCTTTTTTTTCTCATTTATAAATTGAAAATTTATTGCGAAATCTAGTTTTACTTTATGAGCATTTGCATTTATTGCTTTTAGATTTTGATTCAGGTTAACTTTGTTACTGTGATTCAAATGCAGAAGGAGTAACTATAGATAGTCAATGCCGGGTTTAATAACTATAGAAGCGATAATAATTTATGTTTTATTGAAAGAGAAATATTATATATTTATTTAAAAATAGAACTATTTTACTTGAAATAATCGGTTATTTATTTTTATAAAATAATTTTTTCTCTAAATTATTATTCTCTAAATTTTAATAATTTATTTTCAATTATTACTGTTTGCTATTTTCATTTTAGTAATTAAGTAAAATTAATTTTCACTAGTTGATTTTTTTTTTTTTAATTTAATTTTTATATTAAATATTAATCAACGGGATAAATCCTTTGACTTTTTTTCTCACGAAAATTACACTTTAAATTTTCCACATCACTTGAAATCACAATTTCATATGCTTGAATATATCACATGAAAGAAAGTAACATAATATTAAATTTTGAAATCATATAATATAACAGATATTGAAATTGGTGGAACGCGGAGAGGGGGGGGGGTGGGGTGAAAAATGATTAAATCAATTTCTTTTTGAACTGTAAACTTAATTTGAGCTCTTGGCCAATATTCTAATATCCTCAGCGTTTGATTCGATTTCTTTCTCTTCCAAAGCTAATATTATACCTCTGCATTCAAGTGGTAATTTGAGGTAAATTAAATATTCATGAACAGATGTTATGGAGGTTTTGAATCAAACACAGAAAGTGAGAGAGAGGGAGTAGGAGAAAGAGAAAGAGAGAAAGAAAGAAAGTCTCTTCTGTCATCGTTAGTTCGATTTTTAATTACATCGTGTGTTCTTCACAGTTCAAGCTGTGCAAGTAACGACGTTTTTTTTTTTTCTTTTTAAAACAACTGAACTGTGACATCTATCGATTTTATTCTACTTTTAAATAGTGTCTGCATTTTTTTTTTTGGTTTTAATGATACTAAAAAATTTATAGTATCTGCACTTTTTTTTTAAATAAAGGAATATAATTTTACGGTATATTTTTTTATATAGTTTTTTATCTTTTTAAAAAATTTTTTATATAATTATTAGAGAAATAGAATGAGAACCAATAATTTGGAAAAAAAAAATAGTGTATTAAAATTAATGTTAAAGAAAATTGTATCCAGTAAATAACTTTTTTTTTCGCTATAAAATATTGGAAGAGATTTTATTATTTTAATGTTCAAATTTACTTTACCGTGAAAGCTCGATGAATATTTCAAAGTATTTTTAATAATCAGAAGTTTAATAAAAACTTAAACTACTGTATAATATGAGAAATACTAAAGTTATTTGAAAAAAAGTAAAAAAAAAAGAGAAAAAAGAAGAAGAATAAGACAAAAGTGAAATTTCCTATTTTAAGAATAGTATTCACCTCAGGTTGTGGAATATGTCTAGGAACATATTTTAGATTTTCATTTAATACAACCTTGGTGTATATATA